GTAGAGCACCTGTTGAGTTGAAATGAGATTCCCCCCGCCTCCCACGGGGGACGGTGGGAATGTCTTTCCACTTGCCTGCCGCCAAAGTGTTGTTTCACGTTGGGTCCTGGCGACTTCTTCGCAGCACTCATTCGCCGATGCCCCCCGTACGGCATCGATTTACTGAGTGCACAGTGTGGGCTAACGATCAATTGAGGTACTGGGCCACAGGGTGAAGAAGAGAGATGGTTTGGCCCCGGCGAAATTGGGCGTGCTCCAACCCTAAAGAAGGAAAATAACAAATAGATTCAATTAGTGCTGAGGATATAGTCAAACAGTAACGTGGCCGGGCCGTGGTGGCGCACGCCTTTAACCCCGGCACTAGCGCTGGGTCAGGACAGAGAAAAATGTATGCGAAGAACCTGAAGTGGAATTGGGCTTGTTTTAAAAGTTGAAGCAAAACAGGCAGTGTGTCTGGAATTGAGCGATGAAGGAGCAGCATTGTAGGAATGAGGTGGGGTGGAGGAAAGGGTGGGTCCCTGGGACTTGCCAAGGGATTGGATGTGGTTGTTGGAGAAGGGAGTGTGTTAGGAAAAACAAAAAACAAAACAAAACCAAAAACCAGGCAAGATTGACTCCCTGGATAGTGATGCCAATCAGTAGGATGACAGACTGGGAAAAGAGCTTTGGGGTTCAAGTATTAGGGTATCTAAGTGAGCAGGCAGTTGTGTATGTGAGCCTGGGAGAAGTGGCTAGGGAAGTGAGGACCTGACTCCATTAGTGATTTCACAAATGTGTTATGTTTAGTAGCCTGATACTTGAAGCTAATTTATTTGGGGGCAGGGACATTGAGGTAAAATCCTGTGTACCATGCTCTGATAAGGTCCCCAGCCAAAAAGAAAAACAAGTCCTCAGGGAGAAGAAGCAAGTCTCCTCGGACTAAGAGAAGCCGGAGCCCCCACTACTCCACCGTCAAAGTGAAGCAGGTGAGTGAGTGGGCAGGAGCCTTTGCTAGGACCCACGTTCAAATCCAGAGCTGTTGCTGGACCTAAAGGTGGCCTGCACCGGCGTGTCTCCGTCTTTCCTTGTCCTGGCTGTGGGCTTTTCTAAAGACTAGATATATGTTTGTGTTGTTTTATGTGAAACTTCAAATTTGGAGGAAGTTATTGATTTAATTCTGATAACTCTTTGCCAGAAATAGTGCAGAGAGATGTACCTTTCCTTGTTTCTCCCAATGGCAACTTGTCACACAACCGTGGGCAGTATCACAGTCAGGATACAGACATCTCACTGCCAGTGGGAGGCCTCCAGCTGTTCTCTAGAGCCCTGTTCCTTTCCACCTTTATCTTTATCTTTATTTTTGTCTATCATTCCGCCAATCCCATGCTGTCTCAAGTACCACACTAAGTGATAAGTCTTGAAACCTGAGTGCCCCAATCCCTTTTACTTTAGTATTTTCAAAATTGTCTTAGCTGTTCTAGTTCCTTTGTCTGCATCTCTGTAAATGTTAGAACAGTCTTGAATGTGTGTGATTAAAAATAAAGTTTTTTTTTGGTGCATCTCCCCCCCCCCCATGTGTATGTGTTTTGCCTGCCTGCATGTATGTGTGTGCACTGTGTATATGTCTGATACCCACAGATCCCAGAAGAGGGTAGCAGATTCCCTAGAACTTGAGTTAAGGATCGCTGTCAGATACCACATGGGTGCTGAGTTATCTTCCAGATTTTCTAGTGTCTTGCTCCAAGCCAGTGTGGCGGTGTGTACATGTATCCCTACACTGAGGCAGGGGGATCACAAGTTCAAGGCTGGTTTATAAGTTTAGTGAGAGACACTGTCTCAAAAAGTAAAAAGGGAGGCCGGGCGTTGGTGGCGCACGCCTTTAATCCCAGCACTCGGGAGGCAGAGGCAGGCGGATCTCTGTGAGTTCGAGGCCAGCTTGGTCTCTAGAGCGAGTGCCAGGACAGGCTCCAAAGCTACACAGAGAAACCCTGTCTCGAAAAGGCTGGGGCTAAAGTTTAGAAGTAGAGCTCCTGCCTAGCCTGTTTCCTGAATTCTAGTCCCATTACCATTCCATATGTATTTATAGTAAATGGACTATTATTATTACTCAGCCTTAAAATGAAGAAAATTCTGAGGTCCAGATTGGCTTGAAACTTGCTTAGTAGGTATTATAGGCAGGCCTAGAACTCTTTGGTTTTTTTGAGACAGGCTTTCTCTGTGTAGCTCTAACTGTCCTGGATCTTGTTCTGTAGACCAGGCTGGCCTTGAACTCAAAAGAGATTCACCTGCCTCTGCCTCCCAAGTGCTGGGATTAAAGCCAAGAGCCACCAGCCCTGGCTAGGCCTAGAACACGATCCCCCCCGCCCCCCATGGATTTAGGTTCTCATTCTCACTATATCACTTGGCTGACCTGAAACTCTGCCTCTTCCTCCTGAGTGCAGCCCCAGTCCCTTCTCCTTTGATAGTAGCTATTCCTGACCTTTTTAATTTAGCAAATCTGAGAAAATTTCTATTTTAACATTGGTCCTCTGGTTCCTAGCGAGACAGGTGGTCACTAACTGTTAGCTTCTTCTGGAGACTGCTGTTGAGGCTTTGCCTGTGGACTGGCTGATTACTGATTGATTTCTCATTGGTCTGTTTTTGTCCTTGTTTTTTTGAGACAGCATTTCTTTGTGTGATAGCCTTCCTGTGTAATAGCATGCTGGAACTCTGTAGATCAGACTGGCCTCAAACTCACAGAGGCCTGCCTGTCCCTACCCCCTGAATACTGGGGTCAAAAGCATGTGCCACCACCATCAGTCTCTCATTGATCTACTGGTGTGTTATGTGTATTGTAGTTTCTGCCAGGCTGATTTTTTTTTTTTAAAGATTTATTCATTTATTATGCATACAGTGTCCTGTCTGGATGTATGCCTGCAGGCCAGAAGAGGGCACCAGATCTTTTTACAGATGGTTGTGAGCCACTATGTGGTTGCTGGGAATCGAATTCAGGACCTCTGGTAGAGCAGTCAGTGCTCTTAACCTTTGAGCCATCTCTCCAGCCCCATGCCAGGCTGATTTTTAGTATGTAATTGTTGAAGCTGGAGCTTTTGAAATTATTTCAGTTTCTTTTTGGCTTATGAGGAAGTTGACTTTTTCCTTTACATAAATGTAATGGTTCTGTCCCCCCTCCCCCTCCTTCTCTCCCCCTCCCTCCCTTCCTCTCTTTTTCTCTCTGGAGGGAGGACAGGTTTTGTGTAGCCTTGGCTGGCTGTCTTGGAACTCACTCTGTAGACTAGGCTGGCCTCAAACTCAGAGATCCACCTGCCTTTGCCTCCCAGGTGCTGGGATTAATGGAGTGAACCACCACCACCACCTGGCTACTCTGTTCTGTTTTCTACACATGCTGCCCTGTGAGTTTGCTAGCAGGTGACTGATGGGAATATTATTTCTCCTTCCCTCTGTATCAGCCTCTTGTTTTGAGGGCTCTGGATGTGGGCTTGGGCTATCAGGCCTGTATTTGAGGAGCAGCATGGAGTATAGTCATAATGGCCCTCCAGGGGAACAGAACTACCACAGATGACACTCCAGGGGAATAGAACAGATAGTCTTGTGTAGATAGGAATTTGCTCTGAATATCATCAGCACTCAGGTTATAGATGTGTTGTTCATTTTGGGGGATTTAATTATTTTATGTGTGTGGGTGTTTTGCCTGCATGGATATCTACACCATATAGATGCAGTGCCCATGCTTACCACAAGAGAGCATTGGATCCCCTTGGAATGATAGTCACAGATTGTGAACAGTTATGTGGGTGCTAGGAACTGAACCTGGGTCCTGGAACAGCAGTCAGTGCTCTTAACTGCTGAGCCATCTCCCCAGCCCTGACAGCTTATTCACAGAGTAGAAGCCGTCTTTCCTTTACTGAATGCATCTTAATTTCAGGAACGTGAGGACCATCCTCGGAGAGGACGAGAAGATCGGCAGCACCGAGAGCCATCAGAACAGGAGCAGAGGAGAGCTCGTAACAGTGAGCGAGACCGGCACCGGGGCCATTCCCGCCAAAAGAGGAGCTCTGATGAGAGGCCTGTCAGTGGTCAGGGTCGGGACCGAGACAGCCAAATTCTGCAGGCCCAGGAAGAAGAAAGGGACTTTCATAATGCCAGGCGCCGGGAGCATCGTCAGCAGAATGAAGGTGCTGGCGGTGAAGCTCAGGAGGTGATCCCTCGCCCTGCTGGTAACAGAAGCAGAGAGGTGCCTGTTAAAGAAAAACCAAGCTTTGAACTTTCTGGGGCACTTCTTGAGGACACCAATACCTTCCGGGGTGTGGTTATTAAGTACAGTGAGCCCCCAGAAGCCCGGATCCCAAAAAAACGGTGGCGTCTGTACCCCTTTAAAAATGATGAGGTACTTCCCGTCATGTACATCCATCGGCAGAGTGCTTACCTTCTGGGCCGACATCGCCGCATCGCCGACATTCCCATCGACCATCCCTCCTGCTCAAAGCAGCACGCAGTCTTCCAGTATCGGTAGGTAGACCAGGAGGAGGACTGGAAAGGGAGCTGGGGTGAGTGTCTCATTGAGGACCCCTATGCTGTTTGTGGAGATGCAGAAGAGGCCATTACACCTTGTATCTAATAAGCTGGGCTGAAAGAGTCTAGCAGTCCTTGAGTAATCTCTTAACATTTGTGTGAGAATCTTGAACTTGATATCAGAAACCCAGATTAGCCGCTATCATTGCGGTGGTGCAGGCCTATAATCTCAGGTGTCAGAAGGCCAAGCAAGTATAAGCCAGAGTCAGAATGCCAGGTATATGCTGGCTGAATCTGCTGCTTAGATCATATTACCGTTACTATCTGATCCTCCACAGTCCCGTGGGAAAACAGGACCAGTGTTAACATCCTCATTTGACATCTGGGAAAACTGCAGCTCAGCACAGTTGCTGGTAGCAGTAATGATCTTCAGAGCAGAGCTCTGTCTCATATCCCGCCCTTGACACGAAAGTCTCATCTCATTCTAATGTTTTTCCCCATTTGGGCTGGTGCTAAAATAGCTGTACAGCATTGGAGGAAGTATATTTGTAGCCATAGCAAGAAGCCTTGAGTTCTACATTGGGATATCTCATGGCCCTCCATCCCCACCCACCACCCACAGCCAGCTCTACTTTTTCTCTTAGATATATTTAAACTGCTCCCAATTTCCCTGTCCAGGGCAGTGCTTCCCCTGTGACCTTCCAGAGGTTTTGTTTGAACCATGTTCGAGTCAGGTCAGTGACATCTAGATCTGTAGCAGAGAGCTGCAGAGTAGATGGTCCCTGGTAGGACTTGCTCACATGCTTCTCTCACTGGTCTCTTCTAGGCTTGTGGAGTACACTCGTGCTGACGGCACAGTTGGTCGGAGGGTGAAACCCTACATCATTGATCTGGGCTCAGGCAACGGGACCTTCCTAAACAACAAGCGTATTGAACCACAGAGGTACTATGAACTGAAGGAAAAAGACGTCCTTAAATTTGGGTTCAGTAGCAGAGAATATGTCTTGCTCCATGAGTCTTCAGACACATCTGAACTAGATAGAAAGGAAGACGAAGATGACGAGGAGGAGGAAATGGTGTCTGACAGCTAGCAACTGAGAAGCACCCACCCCCTCCCCCATGAGAATCCGTTCCTCCTGGAGGCCATGGGGTTGACTCCAGCGCCTCTTCTTGCCTTAAGTCTTTTCTCTGTTGCTGCCCAGCTTGTGTTGCAGTATGAGAACTCTCACTTCGTGTTTTGTTGAACTTGGCACAGCAGCCGCCTGCCTGTGGGCGCTTGTTTTCAGAACAATCTCACCAATTACAGCATGTTGAGTTTTGGTCAAAGTGTGTGGCTGTAGTGGGTGCCTTCAGAACTGCTGCACAGGAAACTTAAGCCCTTGGAAAGGGGATTGTGGCTTGTTCTCTTTGTACAGTTTCTTATTTATATAGTCGTTGAGCTTTGTGGACCAGGAGTTTTGTTTTGGTGACAAACCCTAGAGCAGAGAATCTCAGTAAGCTTTGGTTGTCACCAAAACAGCCTCCAGCTTATACCAAAGCTTTGGCCTGGGTCAGCTCTTGAGTCATAGAAGTTCATTTTGCACTTCGTTTTTTTGGGGGTGACAATTTACCACATAACCTCATTATTGACTGTCTAAGCTAGACAGACAGACACTCTGCGATGCCTGTGCAGATGTAACTGTGTCGGGAGGTCATGGCTCCTACCCACGGGCGCTGGTGACGTGCCATGTCCTGGGTGTGGAGCTGCATCCTCTGAGGATTCCTGATTTCCCCACGAAGCACAGACCCAACAGTTTGGATCACCTGGTCTTTTTCTTCAGCTTCACATTTTTATTCAGACATTACCTCTCTCTTCTCCCTTTGAGAAACACACTGACGTGGACTTTGTAGTGGGGGGCCCTGCTGTGGCCCTAAGGTCGTGTGTATGTGGCTAAAGGAGGTTGTGTAGCTTCCACATTTCTGTTTCAGCTTTGACCATGGGTTTGTATTTACTTCCCAAGGATGGAAAGCAAGGGGCAGCCCAGCTTCTGAATTTCCCACCTGGGGTCTGTGTAAGTAGAAAGAAATTCATTTCTTATGGTGTGTGTGCTTGTAAAATGGTGTGTTTCAGAGCCATGTGCTGATTTTCATATGACAGTGTTTTGTGATAGAAATAATACCACATGATAGGCAAAGGCCTCTGCATTTGGAGAGCAGGTTTTCATTTATATGTATTTTTGAGATTAAAAAAATAAAATTTGTAAATACAGCCCCATTTTAGAGGGTAATACTTTCCTAGCATAAAGGACTCTTGTTTGTAGGTGTGTTTGTTCCCAAAGGAATCTTTGTATATGCGTGTAGGGAGGTATGGGGAGTGGCCCACAAGTACAGGAACCTCATATCAGCAAGAAGGGAATGTGTCAGTGGAGTCACCAGTGCTTTTTTGAACTGTCAGGGAAGGTTTTTGTGGATGGCCCTGCATGTGGAGAAAACATCAGGACCACTTCGTCCTCAGGTGGTGACGGGGGCAGGGACACAAAGGGTGCACTCGGTCTCTGCTGCTCTTAACTTGCTCCTGGAGTAGAATTTAGGATGCTGATAAATGGACTGTCTTTTCTTCTAGAGGCTGGCTAGTGTAGTCTGGGCAGCTCAGGAATGTACATTCAGAAGAGATCACACAGTCCCTACCGTGTCCAGAAAGCAGACTGCTTTGATGGACTTTTTAAAATCCAGACAAGGTCTTCTGTTTGGGATTCCACAATAATCTGCCATCTCCAGGGCCTCCTTGTCCAATGATAGTTTGGGGATTTGCTTTCTTGATAAACACAGGGAGATGACCACTTTGCCTGCATCTTTTAGTAAAGAGGTCCCAGTAACCAGAAGTAGTGACTAATGCCTGGAGTCATGCCCCTGGAGAGGGTGATGCAAGAGGATTGCTGCAAATGTTGGGGACATGGAATGTGAGGCAGCCTGGTCTGCATAGTGAGTGAGACTTTCATCTCAACAACAATGTCCCAATTCTGTTGATTGTGAGCGTTTGCTTTAGCAGAACGAGAGTCCTAGGTTAAGAGCTCCCTTTGTAGACATCTGGGAAGATGGACTTGTTCATCTCAGATGTTGGCAAGGTCTTCACTGTCTTTCCTTGCCCTGTTGAAATACAGCTGTGTGTGAACAGATCTTTGCTACTAAGCTCCTGCACTAAGTTTTCCTTGGTGGTCCCAAGTTCTGCAGAGGTGGGAAAAAGTCTTCAGGTGTGGGTCAGTGAGATGGCTCAGCTAGTAAAGGCACTTGCCACCAGGCATGATGACCTGAATTTGATTCCCAGAATCCACATGGTAGAAGGACAAGCAACTGCTACAAGCTGTCCTCAGACCTGTACACACAAGATAATGTCAATGCTCTCAGCTACAGTTGTTTCCTTGTTCTGACTTTACCAAAGGTAGCTCATTAAGTGCAAATGCTGATGGCTCTTTCAGATATTTGTACTGTGTGTTTTGATGACATGTGGACAACAGGAATAATCAGCTAAAATAATGGTATTTGAAACAAGGTGCTGTAGCTCAGGTTGGCCTGGAATTCCTCTTGGAGTCCCGTCTATCCTCAAACTATTGGCAAACCTGCCTCAGCAAGTTTCACCTTATCCGGTAACACTTCCAGGTCTTCACTATATTCTTCAGCATCAATCTGAGTACCCAAAGGAATTGGCCCTAGAAATCATCAGCATCAACAAGGTCCTGTATTTTATGCACAAACACCTGGCATCCTGTGAATGTAAGCTCTGCTTGATACTGCATAATGGGGACAGCTACCTGACTCACACCCAAGGAAAGAATCATCAGACCAACTTCGCACTGGGAGTTGCCAAGGAGGCTTGTACCCTAGGTCGGGGTGAAGGTGAAGTTTATAAAGATTGACCAGCAGGGCTACAAAGTGATCAAGCAGAGGGCCACTGAAATGACCAGCCCAGCTTGCTGTTTCAGGTCAGCTACCCTGAGACCATGGGAAATACACACAACTGCTTCATGTTCGCCTAGAAGCAGAGGACCAAGGACCATGAAGGCAGACCTTATGAGAACCACAGCTTGGATGGTGGATTGACAGGGCCCAGAACGAGTCCTAAACTCGCTGCAACCTTCAAGACTGAGCGGTTCTTCCTCCAGTCTCATGTTAAGGCGGAGACACCCCCTACCCAACCCGTGTCAAGCAGTTCCCACTGTTGCTCATGAACTTCTGCTAGCATTGCCTCTAAGCCCCCATCCCCACCCTGTTCAGTGGCCCTTTCCTGCCCCTTCTGCATTTTCCTTTGCCCCCCCTTGGCCTCCCCAAATGCTGCAGCTGGTTCCAGGTCCACCCATCAAACCCATGAGTTCACCGTCTCTTGGCTGGGATTCACTCCCAGGCTCCAGGAGTACACCTACTTGCTTGTATAGTCCCCTCTCATGCCCCAGGGATATACCCTCCAGCCCCTGGATTTCATCTATAGGACTATAGAGATATAGTCCTAGTCTGGAAGGAGTTACCCCCTTGAATCCCAGGGTGTATACAACCCCATGTGTCCCAGGCTAAGGCCCCTCTTCCATCTGAGGGTCCTGGAAACATTGCCACCAGCAGTCCTGGCCAGTCCTGAGAAAGTTTTGTATTTTGTCCTGAACCCATTAAACAGCCTCCCCTGTGTGTGAGGGTAATTTAAAGTGGCTGGGGATTAGTTTAGTGGAGTGTTTGCCTGGCATGAGTGGCAGCTGGGGTGGTGGTTACCCCTTTACTATTAGTACTTGGATACAGATGCAGGCAGATCTTTGAGTTAGAGATCAGTCTGGTCTGCATAAGGAATTTGAAGCCAGTCAGGGCTACAGAGTGGCACATGGCTTTAATCCCAGCGAGTGCCAGAATAGGCTCCAAAGCTACACAGAGAAACCTTGTCTCGAAAAACCAAGAAAAATTTTTTTTCAAAAATATAGTGTAGACAAGAGTTTTCTGCCTAGACCACTGGCCAGCTCTGTCCCACCAGCTTCTCCCCAAATAATCACTGGTAGACTTATTATTAATTATAAATGCTTGGCTGATAGTTTAGGCTTTTTTGTTGTTGTTTTTGGTTTTGGTTTTTTGAGACAGGGTTTACCTGTGTAGCTTTGAAGCCTGTCCTGGAACAAGCTCTTGTAGACCAGGCTGGTCTCAAAATCACAGAGATCCGCCTGCCTCTGCCTCCCAAGTGCTGGGATTAAAGGCGTGGGGCCACCAACGCCCAGCTAAAACCAATTTCTTTTCAGTCTTGATTTGTATGTGTTTGGGTGCTTAGCCTGCAAGGGTGTCTGTGCATCACATGCATGAAGAGCCTGCAGAGGTCAGAAGAAGGTACAGATTTTCTGGGCCTGGAGCTACAGGCACCCAGTTACCATGTGGGTGCTGGGAATTGAACCTGGGTCCTCTGGAAGAACAGCCAGTGTTCTTAACCTCTGAGCCATCTCTTTAGCTAGGCTTAGTTTTTTAGCTAGCTCTTAAAACCTCCCCCATTTCTATTCTATGTGCTGACCCAAGGCTCATGTGCATACTTCCTATTTTGTTTGCTCTGCATCTCATGGTGTATTCTGTGACTTCACCCTTCTCCCCAGCATTCTCTCTGCCCCCCAAATCCTAGCCATCGGCCAATCAGCCTTTTATTAACAATGAAAGCAACACATCTTCACAATGTATAGAAGGATTATTCCACAGCAATACAGAGTTTGAGTTACTGAAACACTGGAGTGACTTAGTTGTATGAGCACAGCATGCTGATAGTTGGCTTGCAACTGTGGATTAGCCACAGCAACACTGAAGCAGGACGCTCCCGGGAGGGGTGATATCTGACGATTGTCTTAAAGCTGAGGGGGACTTTGACTTAGTGGGAGGTGGGGGGGGGCTATACCAGTCGAGGAAGCAGTGGGAGTAGAGAGGGGTGCATGGAACGGGTTTATAAGTCATGCTCTGAAGTTCCATAGTGGTGAGTGGCTCGGAGGTCACAGAGTCCCCTGCAGTGAATGCATGTGGAGTGGACAGAGTGGAGGAGACAAAATAACTGCGTAGACGATCACATCCAGGAGTCACGGAGATCCCGTTGGGTGGGACAGAGGCAGGCTCAGGCAAATCCTTGTCTCAATAATAATAATGGGACAGTGCCTGCTTTGCAATCATGAAAACCTGAATTTGGTTCCCCAGCACCCATGTAAAAACCAAGCACAGAAGTATTTGTAAGTGTTGGGAATGTGGAGATGGGTGGGTCCTGGGAGGTCACTGGCCAGTCTGTTGAGCTTCAGGTTCTATGAGACTATCAAAAAAATAAATAAATAAAAAAAAATAAGGTGAGAGCGACAAAGGACGACACCTGGTTTTGACCTCTGGCCTCCACATGCTCACGCACTCACGTGTATGCACACACATGTGCATGCCCCTGTTAAGTGACAAAACCTTACCCGAGGAGATGCCATACACTAAACTATGGGTATCATCAAAATCCAACTCGATGAAACAACTTTTTTATTTTTCATTTTTTTAATGAATCTTTTGAGACATGGTTTTTCTGTATAGCCCTGGCTGTCCTGGAACTCACTAGGCTGGCCTTGAACTCCCAAACATCTGCTTGCCTCTCCCTCCCAAGTGCTGGGATGGTGAACCAAATTTTATGGGTGAGGGGTCACTTACAGGAATGAAAAAGGTTCAGACAGCTGCATTACCAAAGCTCACCCCAGCATGGGCGACAGCTCACAAAAAGCTGGGAACCTGGAGCACAATGCACAGCCTGCAGGCAGCTCAACAGGTTGGACAGTATCCTTTCCAGGTGCCTCAGTTGGTCTAAACCTCTTCCAGGCAGCTGGACTGGTCTCAGAGTCTTTGCAGCTCAGCTTCCCTTGCTTCCAGAGGGACTCTCAGCTTTTTATTGTTTACTCAGGCGGGCGAGGGTGAGGGTAGAGGGTGAGGGTAGGGTCGAGTGAGTCTGGTCCTAAAAGCTATTTTGGTTGTTCACCTTTCTGCTAGAATGTTTCAATCTGTTTCCATTTCTTGAAAGGCTTATATAACCCCACAAAATGTTGGTATATAAGAGCACTTCTAGGAAAATACAGTTTTAAGCACTCTAAACAAGTACTAGCTCGCACTAGAACTCCCAACCTCAGTTAAGCAGGATTTGACTTTTGCAAATGAGAGAGCCGAGGCAGGGGCAATAAGTCACAGATTTTGTGCGTGTGGGTCTCTTGCCTGCATGTATCTCTGTGCACCCTGTGTATGCCTGGTACCTGTGGCAGCCAGAATGTGAGATCAGATAACACTGGAAATGGAGTTATAGACAGTTGTGAAACACCACATGGGTGCTGGGAATCTAACTCGGGTCCTCTGCAAGAACCACAGCACTCATACTGCTGAGCCGTCTCTCCAGCCTCATATCCCACATTCTTTTTTGTTTTGTGTTTTACTTTAGGTTTTTTGAGACAGGGTTTCTCTGTGTAACAGCTCTGGCTGTCTTGAAACACTCTGTAGGCCAGGCTGGCCTTGAGCTGACAGAGATCTGCCTGCCTCTGCCTCCCGAGTATACCACATTTTTCTTAATTTTGTGTGTACATGTGTTTTGCCTACATATGTATCTGTATCTCATCTCAGGATGAGGGAGTCAGGTCCCCTGGAACTGGAGTTACAGAAAATTCCAAGCCACCATGTGGGTAAGTCAGTATTACTTAAGAACTTAGATGCAAGCCGGGTGTTGGTGGCGCACGCCTTTAATCCCAGCACTCGGGAGGCAGAGGCAGGCTGGTCTCCAGAGCCAGGACCAGGATAAACTCCAAAGCGACACAAAGAAACCCTGTCTTGAAAAAACCAAAAAAAAAAAAAAAAAAAAAAAAAAAAAAAAAAGAGGGCTGGGCGTTGGTGACACATGCCTTTAATCCTAGCACTCCAGAGGCAGAGGCAGCCTGGTCTCCAGAGCCAGTACCAGGATAGGCTCCAAAGCTACACAAAGAAACCCTGTCTTGAAAAACAACAACAACAACAAAGTTAAAGAGGAGGCAGAGGCAGGCAGATCTCTGTGAGTTCAAGGCTAGCCTGGTCTACAGAGCGAGTTCCGGAACAGCCAGGGCACCATGAAGAAACCCTGTCTTGAAAACAAAAGTTAAAGAGGTGCTGGAGAGATGGCTCAGCAGTTAAGAGCATTTGCTATGCTTTCAGGAGACATGGATTTGATTCCCAACACCCACATGTTGGCTCACAACTGTAACTCTAGTTCCACGGGGATCCGGTACCCTCTGGCTTCCACAGGTACCAGGTACGTACATGGTGTACAGATGCACATGCAGACAATGATAAAAGTCTGAAAAAAGGTATATAGTTTCTAAAAAAGGTGATGAGCCACAAATTGGCATCTGTACACTACCACCCAAAGGCTCAGGAACCATTTCAGACTGGAAGAGCCAGAGGTCAGGGAGGACTGGCACACCTTTTGGACATGAGAGGATTGCTGTATTTGTCAGCCCAGCAGCTGTGGCTGCTACAGAAGCTGCCTCACAAGACCCCATCCCTAGCTTTGACAGTTGATGACTTCTGTGGGGAAGAGTCAGTTTTATTTAAGGTGTGGCCCCTGGTAGGTTGATCACATTCCATTGGATGACCCCATACCCATAAGTATATGAGCACCACAAACTGGGACTCACAGTCAATAAGGTGGGGGGGGGGGTTTGCTGGGGAGATGATAGCTCAGCACTGCTTGCTCTTCTAGAGGACCCTGATTTAATCCCCAGCACCGTCATGAAAGCTCACACCTGTTAGTCTGGTCCCAGGAGATCTGATGCCCCCTTCTAGCCTCTTTAGGAATTGCATGATTGTGCAGACATAACATATAGGCTAAATATCAGTATACATAAGAAGCTGGTGGTGGTGGCGGCATACATCCTCAAACCCAGCACTCAGAAGACAGAGACAGGCAGATCTCTGTGAGTTCAAGGCCAGCCTGGTCTACAGAGCAAGTTCCTAGGACAGGCTCTAAAATGATATAGAGAAACCCTGTCTTGAAAAAAAAAAAAAAACCCAACCAAATAATAAACTTCAAGGTCTGATTGATATTTTTTGAGCCAACGCTAGCCTTAAACTATGTACTTTTTTGTTTTGTTTTGTTTTTTTTTTTGAGATAGGGTTTCACTATGTAACACTGGCTATTCTGGTACTATGTAGATCAGGCTGGCTTTGAATTCACAAAGATCCACCGGCCTCTGTTTCCTGAGTGTTGGGATTAAAGATGTGTGCCACCATGCCTGGTTTTAGAAGTTCTTATGTGCTCCAGCCTGGCAGGAAAAGAGAAGAGCTGCTGGGCTCAAAATCAGGGATTCATGCATGCGTTGGCACACAGCCTACCGAATGAGTTCTATCTCTAGCCTTGACTTGTCTTTTGTTTTTTTTTTTTTTTTTTTTTTTTTTTTTTTTTTTCACACCTCTGTCTTAAGAGGAAGGCCTGGTCTTATGTAGCCCAGGCTGGCCTAAATACTATGCAGCATCTTCTTGACCTTCCTGTTTCTTACTGCCTTCTCTCAGGTGATAGAATTATAGTCATGTACCTTTAGAGAGGAACATGAAATAATTGAGATTTATGTTTCAGTTCCAAAAGAGAAAATTAGGCAAAAGGGTTTGGCGAAAATTGAGAATTTCTCAGACCTGATGAACAATATCCACCTAGAGCATAGCAACTCAAGGACATCCACACATGGGGGAAAGAATAATGCCACCTCGACTCACAGTGAAGATGCAGAACACTGAGAAATGCAGAGCTGGCCTGTGGATGGAGGCCCTATTAGAGTCCTTGTTTAGTCTGTCCTGGTTCCCATCCCCAGCACCAGTTAACAATGTGCACGGTGGCTGACACTTGCCATCCCAGCATTGGGAAGGCAGAGGCAGTACAGAAATTCAAGGTCTGTGTGTTCTGTTCCATAACAGCCTGGGATACAGTACTGGACCCAAAGATAAAAGCTAATTCTTCCACAATCCTTCCCCTCTGGAAAACCACATACGGTAATAGGAAATCTGCCTGCTTCTGCCTCTGGAGTGCTGGGATTAAGGATAGGTGGCACCAGGTCAAGTAAGTGATGCACTTATAGCATCTGTATTCAGTAGGATTTCTTACTATGAGGCAACAGAAGTAAACCTAGTTACATGCCAGTGGCATAGATAGGAATATAGATTTATTAATTGAACTTATATTTTCTAAGACAGAGTGTAAGTGTTACAGTGAAACATTCTGGCACTCAGGAGCCAAAAATACTGTTACAGCTCAGATAGAAAAGTATTCTGGCACTTGGGAGCCAAGGAATACCATAGGTCACAGAAAGTGTAGCAGCTTACAGCCCTGCTCCGGTAAAAGGCTTCCCCAATGTAACAGCTCTGCTCCTGCAGGATAGGGTTTCCCCAGCTCCAGGAAAAGGCTTCCCCAATGTAACATCTCTGCTCAGGCAGGGGAGGGCTTCCCCAGTAAAGTTGTTACAGTTTGGCTCCAGTCCCCCAGAGTGTAACAACTGCTTGGCTTTGCTAGGGGAAGGTTTCCATGTTGAAAGGTTAAAAGGTGGTTTGAAAGGTCGTCACCCAAACCTCATTCAAGAGATTTATCTGGAGGGAAGAATCCAGGAGACTGGCTGCCTCTTCCAGGGTGGAAGAAGACAGCAGCAAACTGAATAGGCACAGGGTTTATATAGAGCTTCTTGGGGGGCGGGGGTGTCCAGGGAGAAGATTTCTGGAGTGGGGATTGGTCAGATTTCAGTCCCTTGAGCTCAGATTGGCTAGATCTTGTGCTCAGAGATTGGTTCATTTTCCCTGCTCAGGGATTGGTTGGTTTTCTGCTTAGTTTGTCAGGAATAGATTGGTGCTAATTTCAGAGCCAGGGCATATTTTTTTCACTGCCTCTGATTCTAGGGCCAAAGTGTGTTTCTTTGACTCTGCTTATGGTGTGTTTCTTTGGCTGGCCCTTTTTCCCTACACAGGGTCTCACTATGTAGCTCTGGATGGCAGATGACCCGGAACTCCGTATGTAGACCAGGTTGGCCTCAAGCAGAGCTAAAGATCCTTTTGTCTCCTGGTGGTGGTGGGATGAGCCTTTAATCCCAGCACTAGTGGAGCAGAGGCAGGTGGCTCTCTTGAATTTCAGGCCAGTCTGGTCTACAGAATGAGTTCCAGGGCAGCAAGGATCCATCTGCCTCTGCCTCCAGGGTGTTGGGATTAAAGGCATGAGCCATTAAGCCTAGCCTTAATTTATTTTTGAGACAGGGTCTCTGCTATGTAGAACATAATGGCTGCAAACTCATGATTCCCTACCTTCACCTCCTGAGCTGCTGCCATTACAGGCCTGAGCCATTAGGCTCTGCTGATTCACAATCCTCACAACGACTATCTTTTGAAACGTGTGTGTGTGTGTGTGTGTGTGTGTGTGTGTGTGTGTGTGTGTGTGTTTCACATTGTATCTCTGGCTGGCCTGGAACTCTATGTAGATCAGGCTAACTTCAAACTGAGATGAGCCTGCTTCTGCCTCTGGAGTCCTGAGATTAACGGCATGCGCCACCATCCAGGAATCTGCTCTCCAGCCAGGATGGTGGGGCTAGACCTTGCTCAGATTTCCCACCTGCAGTTGGGGTGGTGAGGCAAGGGCATTGTCTGAGGCAAGGCACATAGGATACTTAACAGGCTTATGCCGCAGCTGGACTTTGGATGCAGTGAGCGTCCGTGGGTGTCTGCAAGGCTCAGGGGCTCACAGTGGGAAGAGGACAGCAAGGACGACC